ACCCCCTCACCGCTCACCATTGTGTTCAGAAGATTATTTCACTCTTATTGTTGAATGTAGAGTGGTGGATCCACGCACAATAAAATAATATTTATACCGATACTTATATTACATTTTACATTATCGGCGCGTTTGGTGGTAACTGTATATAATTTATTGTATTTTTCTTCATAGAAAATAGTTGATGAATCAGATATAGCAGATGCATTAGATAATGTCAGTCCTATAGTAGAACAGATGATAGTAACAGTCAGAACAGAAGAAATATACAGCAGAGAAAATAGAAATGTGTGCATGATTAGTTTTCATTAACAACATGTTTCTTTATTGATAATAATTGTATTTAATTATTTTTAAGAACATGACTGATGTTATTAAAGTTTAAAATACTTTTCAAATGGGCTCTATACCGAATGTAATTAATAATATGAGCAGCAATTCAGCTGATATAATCCAAGCTTTAAATACTATAAGTGGACTTAATTTGCATGCTAATAAATAACATTATTATATTACAATTAGATTTAAAAGTATTATTGAATTATTTCATTTCTCGTCCTTCTTCCATTAACATTGCCCTGTCTCTTCCGCAAAGTTGGGTTCAACAACATTATTATATAATATGTCCCGATTTCTATATTCCAAACCGAAATACAATAATTATGCATTAATATTATACTACTGGCATGGTATGCCACCCGTGTATAAAAGTATGCCTACTTTTTCATACCAATATTATGTAGTATAACACGAGTCTTTATAATTATAGTTACCTGTATTGGTTGGTAGTGAGAAATATGATCCATATTTTAATACACCAAAAAACATTTTAATTGTATGAGTGTAACAATATTCCAGTGTATTTTCTGGCCTATTTAACACAGGCATTAACATATATGGCTGAGATGTATATGTTAAGATTAAAGTATATAATTGAGCATTGTACACAATGTCCAAAACACAGTGGGCAATCATAATAAAATACAAACAAACATTTATTAAGAATATTAAACTATAATTACACCTAAATTATTTGTTTTACCATCTGTTTTACTATTAACCTACTTTTATTTATTTTTACAGCTTAAACTTTCATGGCATTTAGAATCGCATAATTTTCCTGTAGCCTTACATTTGCATTTGCTGATTTTACATTGTTTTTTACAGTGGCATCTATCATATCCTTGAGCACAAGGAGATGAAAATATTTTAGCCGCTTCTCTGAACGATATTAAAGTATTAGGTACCATTTCAATCTGCACAATTAACTCGCTATTTTACTCTGGAGTAAAATTGTTGAAGTTTACCTTCAGTGGTACCAATTTCGAATTTAAATATTTTGCGTTTAATTCAAACTTCATTCGGTTTCTACCATCGTGACCGGTTTGCAAATGCACGTTATGAATTATTTTGCATAATTTGTCGTTATAAACAAAATATTTTATAGTATTTGGTTCAGTTACCGATACTATTAATTTTTCAAAATTACTTACAGTCATTATATCATAGCGTTTTAACAATTTGTAGTCATTTGGTTTTAATTTTATTTATATGTTTATTTATTATAAAATACGGGACAAGCAAAGTTTACATTGAGTGTTCTTATATCTAACATATATTTTACTTATAATAGGACCTATGGATGGCTAGCGATAACTTAAGATTTAACTCTATTACTATTGTTTCCTATGACTATTACTATTTCTATATTGCTTAGAATTTCCTTTTTGTATTTTATAATTGAAAGTATGGGTTATTGTTTGCGGTTATCATTAGACGATTTAGGGGGGAGTTTTGAAGGAAACTAGTAGAAAAGTTGGGAATATGAAATGGACCATGGAAGCGGGTGCGACGAGGTGGGACTTTGACGAGGGAGAGAACCGGTGAATCTATTTTGCCAATAAGATTTGAAAGGAACAAAATGTTATTTATTTGTCTACGGTCTGCCTGCTATAAACTGTTTGTAATATTTCATTGTATTTTAATTTACTCAAACATACACTGTTCAATTTTTATTTACTCAAAAGCGTATACATTTTTCATAAAATTGTATTTCACCCATTTTAAATGAAATGTGTACAATTACGAGTGATCGGTTAAATTCAGTTTCAAGTTCAACTGACCTTCATTTCATTGTCGTTGGCGTAGGTACACTTAGATAAAATTGTTATGCGATAATAATAGGTTTGTTCTAACACGGAATTCAGGACTAGTTGTGGACTAATCTGTGATTGATTTACTGCGCATGCGCTAATATGGACTGATCATAGATTCAGAATTTAGTGGGAAAAGGTTGATACACGTATCGAACCAACTTTCGGATTGTCCATGATTGTAGAATACAGATAAAATATGAAACCTAACAAGATTGAATCTTGTGTCCTACAACAAAACATTTTTTATAAGTGTGTTTTGAAATGGTTACACATTCGAACGTAAATAATTGATAGCATAAACAAAGAACAATAAATAAATCATAACAGAATCTGACTATACTAGTCCCAATCCGAATCAGCGGATCGTTTTGACTGTCAGAAACCAATCCCAAAACTGGACTAATGTCGTGTTGGAACAGTTTTTGGCAATTTAAGTTTTCGTTTTTAGTATGTTGGAATGGCAAAACTCACATGCACATGCACCCACCAATTTTGTGGTAGTTTGAACGTTTGTTGAAACAAATTTAATATTAACCAAACCGTCCTAACCCTATCTAATCAGCAATATATTAGCAATATATTATCAGCTATAATATAAAATTGTATTATTATATTATTTGTAGACAAATCGCACACGAGTAAAGACGTTTTATTGACGAACGAAAGTCTATAAATAAATTTAATATGTTATCGAACAATTAATTATCCCTATATTGCCATTTCATCTCGAAAAACTATATCGATAAAAAAGCATTATTTATAATTTTATAGTACACATTAAAAAAATTACACTAGTACAAATATTTTGAAACAAATTAGTAAATATGAAAATAGATAATTTGATTTAAATCCATTGTATTACAATGCCCGAATTATACACTTTGACCATAACATATCCACTGAATCTCTAAGAAGCTTATATAGACCCCCTATTAATTGTATTATACCATTTGCACATTTAATGAATAGAAGCCTTTAAAATTTGTGTATGCCACTTCACGATCAGTAGGCGTTACTCTTACAATTTACGTGCAATCGATGCACCCTAAAATTCATGAGTAATGGCTCAGCTGTTCAAATCTTTAATATAATGTAATATAATTATCAGTAAGTATATTTTTAATTGTATTATATTATAATATAATCAATAATAATAATTACTCATTTTTTATTGTTGCTCTAAAGATATGAACTATTTTAGTAGTTAATTTTAATGCACTTATCAAAACTAGACTGATTAACTGGGTCTAAATAATACCTATTCCTCTTTGGTAATACCCTGTAGCTAAAAACTGAATCATAACAAATAACTAAATTCCATAATTAATATACTATATAAACTATTCAAATATTTAGGCAGATACTTAATTATACATAATATAATTGATTATAGAATAGTCTATTCTATAATTTTAATTGGATGTAGTCTAAGGCGTTAAATTAACATCAACATTTTGTTTTTTGAGGTATAGTTTGATAAAATTTAGATAAAATAAAGATCAAATGGATTACATGTGTCTTTTAAAATAGATTTATGGAGAATACTGGCCTTATTCGCCTTTGGTCTTCTATTTCATCTAATAGCCCAAAAACTAAAACCGCTATAATTAATACTACAAAATAATAATAAATTGTAAAAATATTAAAAATGGATGATGAAATTATAGCACAGAACTTGTATATATCAAATAACAATCAATAATGACATGATAAATTAAATATGTATGAAAAGAAAAATTCTATATTCATCGTGTTTACGATGAACATATTTCTTCCCCCTTTAGTATAGATTCCCAAATAATAATGTAGTCAAAGAAAAATGGATAACTGCTATAAAAAGATAAAATTTTATTCAAACATATCACAGAATATGTAATATTTATTTCACTGACAATGATTTTGTAAAACGGCCAAATATTATAAATAATAAATAAATTATTATTGAAAATATTTCTGAGTTCATGATTTATGATAAAATTAATCTGTGTATAATCATAATATAAATATTGATTAAATACCATAGCATTCAACCAATATGATAGAAAAGCAGAATCACCTGGCCTGCTTATGAATTTATACTAGTTAGCAATCTAGTTTATTATCTGTATCTATATATAGCATAAAACTATATTGTAAATAGGTCTATGTATAGTATGCTTTTTATTATCGAATGTTTATGGTAATACAAATTGTTTAAGTCATACTTAATGATAAAAATTAAATATTATTTATTTCCAAATCAAAAGACTACATATATCACTCAATAATACATAATTATGTATTATCTATGGTAGTAACACATTAAATCAGAAACCGGGTAAGACAAATTCGATTCCCGCCAATACCAATCACTTTGAATACTTTTCAATTTATTGATTTTCAAACTCAATCTGTGAAGAATTAAAAAGTCAGAATGAAAAATTAATTTCATTTCTGAGCTAACTATGTTCATAACAATAAGATTCATAGATTTAATCAAACATTTTTTTGACAACCCCCATTAAGATAGTCTTACATTATTTAAGTTTATAATGGTTAGAGAATCTCAAACATTTTCTTTGATTATATTATGTGTTTTAGTCACAGTGACTGAATTACTGACAAAAACTTTTATAAGATAATAGCACAGGAAAAACATATGTACTAAATTAAAAATGAAAAATTAGAGGTCTAATATAATAAGTAAAGGTTGGAATATGAAAAAAAGTTAATAGAAAAATTAACTTCAGATAGCTAATTAATATTTACAAATTATTACTAAATACTAATTTTTTTTATTTTATGTAATTGTACAAACTCATTGATAAATAAACACTATGCCTATAAATACTTAATGTTTACTATGTTTGTTTTTTGTTATGACTATAATATAAGTTGATCTAAACTATATATAAAATTTAGACTTACTAATAAAAAAAAATACTTCAAATAATTTAAAAGGAATGATAAAAGTAAAAATCTAAAAAAAAGATGCATAATTCTTGTAATTTTAGTAAAAGCTATCGGTGTTATAAGACCGAGGTTTTTTTATTTTGTCAAAGTTCTTGATCACTATGTCATGCATTGTAGAATAATGATTACGTATTTCACGCACGGTAAGGGCCATGTTTAAATAAGTTCTTTCGTCCAATTCGTTAATAGCTCGTCTATAATCTTCAATATAAGGGTTTTTCAGAATCTAAAACATGAACAAAAGTTTAAAAATTATAACATTTTTTTTTTTTTTAAATACAATTGGCTAATCTATAATAGAACTCAAATTAAATAACTGGACATTTTTATTACAAAAATATCTAGTAGTATTGTGTGCACTAAACAATTAAAGTTTATAGATTTTTCAAGTGGGGTGAAACACTTGGCTCTGCACTCAATATTAATAATATTTCATTCTATGTCTAATTCCTACCCTATTAATCTCTGAGTTTACACATTAATTACATACAAAGAGTATAGATTTCTGGGATTCATTAGAAGAATTAAGTGAATCTAATTTAGCTAATAAAGCATACATAATAAATAATATCAGTATTTATACACACATACCAAAGTAAAACTATGATACTACACTCAAAATTGAACATAATGAAACAATAAGCTATTAAGATATAATAGACAATTAAAGACAAATAATGTACTTATACAAACACTTTATAGAGTTGAAAATTCAATCAGTTTTATAAACATTTTAATTATCTTATTTATATGTTTTATTTCATAGCATTTATTTTGAATATAAGTACCCAACAAAAACCCTGTCAACTACATGTAAAAACCTCCCTAAGAAAAAAACAAAACTCAAGTTAGAAAAGTAGTAATATCAAAAAGTAGCAAGTAATTTCTTAAATTCATTAGTATAGAAATTGTTTTAGCAGCATAGCTAAAATAAATTCACATAAATAATTCAAATAAATCGCACTTCATCAAATAAAATTATAAACAATTTCTATTCTAATGAATTTAAGAAATTACTTAGATATTACAACTTTTCTTATTGGAGTTTTGTTTTTTTTATTAAGGAGGATTTTACATGTAGTTGATAGGGTTTTTGTTAGGATATCACTCATTTTTTTATTAAAATTTTGGATATAGTTAACCGGTTTTTTTTATGGTTTTTTTTTATTGAGTGAAAAATTATGGAACAAAATATCTGTTGTTTTATGGATTAAGTAAATGAATATTTGATGAAGGTATAGCTATAAACATAGCTTAGTATGAATTTTCCCAGAAATTGATACTATAGTAATTCAGTGATGAAATAAATAACCAAAATTGTTTTTTATTCATTTAAAACAGGTGGTAACAATACGTACAAAATATACATAGTTGAATTGTTGAAAAAATAGCAGTTTGAATAAAAACTATGATAATACTTTAGCATATTACTCAAGCTGTAATTATCCAATCAACTTGAAATTTATAAAAATATCATCTACTAAAAATACTGATCAACCTGTGTAAATTTCAGAACAATCAGTCTACTAGTTTAGGCTTCAGAGAGATTGGACCATATGTCGCAAAATTACATAGGTTAAATAAGAGTTGGCCATCTCATGTAATATACTATGGTCAATGCTCAAGCTCTTTTTCTTTTTACTTAGCTCTACGCTGCATTGCTAGATTATGTTTTAATATATATATATATATATATATTATTGCAAATTAAATTTATAATAATTATTTTTTTCAATAATTCAAATTCAAAATTGTATAATATTTAAAAATATCATTTATTAATAATTTGTTGTTTTCTACACAAAAACTTGCCTCAATTGAAACTACAAGAAAGCTTTTATTTTTTTTATTTTATTGAATTTCTGATCTAGTTGGTGACTAAGAAGGTAATATTTTGATTTTCCAATCATTTTTCTTGGAAAATCAAAAAGAAAACATAAGAAATAAAGGAAAGTTTAAGGCATAAATGGTTTTGTTATTTTTGAATTGGTTATTTTGTTGTGAATCAGTTAAAAATTATTATAGAGACCTAAAATTTACACAGAATATACAGAATTACTTATATACTATATAGAAGCATTTCTTTTTTTTTTTTTTTATCTTGAACAAAAATTTTCTCATAGGATTTTAAGTGAAATTTATTGTTCAATATGAAATTGTTAAAAACTATTTTAAAATCATTTTTAATTTTTTACCCTTATTCCATATATCGAATAAGTATATAAAAACTCCCTTTTTGAACATACATTCAAATAGATAATATTTTAATAGAAATTTTGATATGCATAAAATTTATATCAGATTTACAGTTTATAAGTCAATCTAACTGTTTAATGTTTAGACTGAAGGAGTAGAGAAGGGTAATAAATTGCATATCTATTTCTAAATGATATATTGGCAACTCTAAGAAAATTACTGGTTTAGGATAAAAAAAATATCCTGTATTAACCTTTTCTAGATGTGGAAAATTTTCTAAACATTTTGGTGATTTTTTTTATAATTGTTTTAAGATTTAATTTTTACCAAAATCTCAACAATATTATATGAATAAAAAACTTCGCTCAGAAAAAAATTTGTTTTTTGATATAATTATAGTTAAATATATGAAATGATTATTTGTATAGAGAACTAGTCATTTGTATATGACACACACATAGCATTAATAATTATTATTTATTAAACCTTTATTACTTCTATTAAAATATTTTGTTAAGTACAAACCTTGGTGACTAATTTTGCACGGACTACATAATAATGAGATTCTTGTTCAAGAAAACTGGTAGCTTCGCCTTCAACATGTTGTATTTGAGCAAGAGTATCTTCTTGAACAGATACTCCAAAATTGTTACCATCCTCGATTTTTGGAATTAATAAGGATACCCACATTTTCAGCTAAAAAAGATATTTAATATAAATAACAAATTGGATTTTACAGAGTGGTTCCGAGAAAGGGAAAAATTTAAAATAACTCACTCATGATGTTTAAAAATTGTTTTTTCAATATTTATTGGTTATAATATGCCATTTAAGGTTCAAAACACTACAATATCAAGTTTGGAAAACATTATCTGGGCCTCTTATACATTCCTGGAATTGTGTCACCTGTGGGGCCATCTTAAAAGCAAAGTGTATAGCAATCATCCAACACTTCTTCAGTTGAAGACAAGAATCCAAGAAGAAATGGCTTTAATTCCCATGGAGATATCACAGAGTCATAAAAACCTCCACACAAGATTCTAGGAATGCATACAAAAGACCGGACACCTTCCTACAGATATTATTTTTCAACTTGATATTTTAGTGTTATGAACCTTAAATGACATATTATGTATTAACAATAAATAACAAATATTACAATAAATATTGAAAAAAAATGTTTAAATGTTTGTTAAGTTATTTCAAATTTATTAATTTCTCAGGCCCAACCTGTATAATATAAAAATATTCTACTTACAGCATTAGTGTCTTCAATTAACTGTTGAACATTGGGTTTAATAATTTCGAAAGCTTTAATAACATTCTTATTAGTTGGTATGAGTGGTTTTTCTGGAGTTGCATCATATGACTTTGAATCAAAACTTTCACTACGATTTTTTCCATCACAACTGTAATAAATCAATTGTTTAAATTTATTTATTACTTTAACTCAATTTTAGTATTCACACTACAACAAAAACTTAGTAAATGTCTGGACCAGTATTATAATAATAGATCTGTATTAATGTCAGTAACCCACTGTTTTAATTAATAATAAAATTATTGTTCTGAGATTTTGTTCATATATGGTACATATTCTATTTTTAAAATGTATTATGAAATATAATAATAAATCAAGAGTAAACATTTTAGTGTAGGCAAATAAGAAGAGCTAATTAATTTATTATGACATTAAGGATAAACTTCACTGTATCTTTTTTTAAGTAAATCTCTGCAAAAATTAACCATCTCTCCATACTCGAAAATGGTCAAGATGTTCATGAGTAAGTTCTGCAGACCTAGAAAACTAGGAAAAGCTATACATAAGGCAAATTGCACAAAAATATTTTCTGCTTCATTTTCAGTTGAAGTATTTTCATAATATTCATAACATCTATCTTAATGCTGATAGTAACTCATAACATGAGAGAAGGAACTCATGTGTTAACAAAAACACAGTCAACAACACAATACATCGCCCAGAATATTTGAGTAATGATGTTCAATACTGTTAGTTGTATGCACAAAACGATTTGCTTCTCTAGTGGGCCGAAGTTTAAATAGATACTTTAATAAATAATAAATACATATGCAATACTTTCGCAATATCTAGATAATCTTTGAGAGGCAATTTCAAATATTTTTTCTTCAACATTAATATATCATTATTTTTGATAAAAAAAAAAAAAGCAAAGTACACTATAATCAGAAAAAAAATATATCAAAAACAGACAATTAATTGCTTTAATGTTCAGTTACATTTCGATAACCAGCCAATAATGGTCGGTTAGTATAACCCGCACATAATGATTGAAAACGGTTTTGACTGAAGTTAGAAATACGGGTTTTATTTTCTTATTATTAAATACGTATAAAACCGGCCCAAAATCTTAAAAACTTTTTACTTGCTAAAATCAGTAATATAATATGTATACTCTACAGGTATCTAAACTTTAGTTAACTCACTTGTTTATATTTTTTCCCAATTTTAACACTGTAGAGAGTTCTAAGTTACACTTTAAATCAATTTCAGGGATACAGAACTCTGGTTTCTTTAGCAATTCATTTAAATAGACAATTCGTTCCGGAAATTTTTGGACAACACGATTCTCGGCCTAAAAATAAAAAATGTTTAACTTTTATTAGTATTAAAATAAATGTTTGAGAAAGCAACCCCAATATGTTGGTGTCAATCTAAAATTATTTTTTAAAGTTAAGCATGACAAAATCTAAAAAATATTTTATTCTTATTACTTTGACAAGGCTCATTTATATGCAAGTATGATTAATGTCTGATAGCAAACTAATATAAAACAATATTTTATCATATGAAAATTTATATTTAAAAATATTGATCAAATAAAGAGAAAATTAAAATATCCAATTATTGTAAATTATAGTTAACATAAAATATGTATTATTTAATAATAAATAAACTTTATCAGGAATTTCCTAATATTCTACCTAGACTATTAGGATTTCCTAATATTTAATTACGTAACAAAATACTTACATTAAACATATCTAATAAGCAAAAAACATAACTTATTAGGATACCAATTATTCACTATATTTTAATACTATATGTAATGTTTAATGTGATTTTTGGTTAAAATTATAATACAATTATTTAAAATTACTTCACTATGAATGCAATTCCAATGAAAAAGGTATGGTAAGGTTTTTTTAAATTATTAGTATATTTATTAACTTATTTAAAAGTTCATTATTTCAATAAAAATAAATACATTCATTTCTAATAAAAAATTTAATGTTTAAATGACAATTCTACAAATACAAATATGTAATCATACAATACAATTACAAATAGTGAAAATTTAAATAAATCACAATTATTGTTGCAACTAAAATTAAGTACACTACAAGAACCCAGTAGAGACTAAGATAATACTAAAACCAATAAAGTACAAATAGACTGTATAATATTCACAAAAAAAACAACAAACTATAGGCGCTCATCTAATAACGTATTAATACTAATTTACGAATTACAATTTTACTAATAAACAAGACTACACCGGCCTATAAAAAATAATAATAATATAACTATAAATGATATGAATGTATACTCGAATTACAATAAAGGCCGCGTATCACTGATAACAATTATCATTTATACCGCGTGTTACCATGATATTAAACGCGTCACACCTGATAATCCTCCATTACGACCGCTGAGCTGCACCACTGACCTTGGGCTTCGACTTCACCTTCCACTCAACTCACCGTCAGCCAACCGTAAATACGCCGCAAATGGAGTAAAACTTAGAAACGTGCCAGAATAATGAACGCCAAAGTTATCGTGCCACAATGGCTGCACCGACTCACGTGCTCTGGTCCCCGGATGGCCCGTTAAGAAAGAAAAAACATGACGGACGTTTAACACGTTACCTGCGTTTCCTCGGGCCGTACCACTGCTGAGATGTTATTACTATTTTATTAAAGAAAAAAGGAAACACGCCAGACATATAAGACTGCGAAAAAAAAGTACCTATGGACGCTAATCTTTTACTTGTTCAGACGATTAAAACGAACAACGACACGCTCCGGAAAGCATTTAACGTAGTAGAAGTGAGCAACAGGAGTGGCAACTAGCGACTGACGACTGGCGACTGGCGACTGGTGGTAATGATAACGACTAACGACACGTCAGCGCGGCGTCTCCTCCCTACCGCTAGGTGTACCAAATAATCGCGAATATTCTCGAATGCCTTATTGCTTTTGGTAAACCACCGTCGACACCGAACAATATTATAGTAAATCAAAATAAATAAAAAATTATATACCTATTTATTTTTAGGTCAAATGATTTATATTTTTAAATAGTATAAAATATCATCATCATTATGCTTGTATAGGTATTTTAAATATTAGTTAATTTTTAAAATAATTTCTTCTTTCTCTAAATTAAATTTTTCATTAAAAATAAATGTATTAATTTATTGTTACCTAGTGAAATAATAAACGTTTGAAAAAATTAATAAATAATAATGATTTAAAGACTTGAAAAACTAATTCCCTATAATCAAAATATGCCAGGGACCAAACGACCTATCTTAATAATTGCTGCAGACTGAACGTCCGTAAACTCATTTTTTTACAGGGATGAAACGTCCGTTTAAAGTTTTATCATTTATTCAATTCCCTGCGTTTTCACATGACAATACTAGTATATTATCAATATATATATATATTATTCTTACATTCTCTTAGATTATTAATTTTCATCTAAAATAAAATTATGGCATAATTGGCTTCTAACAGACTACTATTTAATCTTTTTTTCTGTTGTATTGCAAACATAACATTTTAATTTTGTACATAATATAAACCATGATTTAAATCACGAATTAAGATATATATCTTAAAAATGCTGGAATTTTTTCCAATTACTTAATAGCTAGAGTTCAATATCTATGTCTAAAAACTTATTAAAACTTTTGAACAAGAACATTGCAATTGCTTGAAAATTAATCTAGTTAGGTATAATCGAATAATGGATTATAAAAAAAAAAACACAATAAATTTCGAATATAAAAGTAAATAATTATCGATTAGTTTTAACAATTATTCGAGTAATTTTCGTTTTACCTTGTTAGCAATTTCTCTATTATCCATTTCACTTCTTCTTATATAATATTAACAATTTGGTGACTGATACAAATTTCTTCTCTACGATAGAAAAATTTAAAACATTTTGAACTAATAACTAATTTAAATTTAAAAAAAAAAAAGAGATTTCCTAACGTAAAGAACACAATATTACGCTCAGCAAGTACATACACGGAGTGCAGCTCATACTTAGTAGTCCGGCCTTTGTAGGTAGCAAAAACCAGGTGGCGCTAACTATTCGCATGTATATATTTCAATGTGTATGCGTAAGCGAAAGGCTAGTGCCACGCCCGAAAAATCAATTTTCGAGAAAAAAAAACCAAACAAAGATTATCTAAATTGCTACACGATATCGGTAAGTATATGGATTTTATGTACTAATAAATGCAAGTTATAAAAGACAGAGTTCGAATAACTCCATTATTTTAGTATGTAGAAATTGCATGCAAAACATACTTGAAAAAGGCATAATTCATACCACCGCAGTGGCGTATTTAAGACGGAGGCCCATGAGCTCCAGACCCCCAATTGACCTCATTCATACCTATCTAAACATCCGTGTTCATATAAGTTGTAACCACATAAAATTGTATGTAATCATATTATTGTTATGAATGGTTGCCCCGCTTGCTATTCGGAAATCGATAAGGTGGAGTGATAAAATTCCTTTAGAGGAAAAATCTCTCTAGAACAACCTCTTTAGAAATTCCACTTTTAAGTTTGAGTCGGGGGAGAGTAACGGAGCATCATTTGTGTGGCGTCACAGCGCGCGGCGTTTTAAGAATGTACCATTACTCTCCCCCGACCCAAACTTAAAGGTGGAACATCTCGTCAACGGATAGACCAAAATTAAAATTTTAAACACCAAAATGTATTTTAACTACTACTGCATAAATTCATAGAATTTTTAATATAGATTGTCACTTAAAAATCTAAAGTAGTCATTTCATCCTCAAAAATTAGGGTGACAAAAAAGTAACATATTTTTAAAATTACAGAACCGCTTGTTTCTAAAATTTTCTGTAAATCAAATGTCGAAAAAAGTTAATACTTTCCGAAATAATAAGTTTCTTATGATAAATTGATCACTCTGTATTCTATTAATAATTTTCGTTTGTCAATCTATCTGTTATCAGTATTCATACTTCAAATATCGTGATTATTTTTGTTTTTAATTTTTCTTTTGTACTGACCGATGCTCTTTATATTCATGTACTCGACACTCGTTTATATTTAGAACTATAGAAATTTTATGTGTTTCAACTAGAACTATAGAAATTTTATGTGTTTCAACGGTAAATTTTTAATTAAAAATTATTTAAAAATAAATTTTTAATTAAAAATTATTTAAAAATTGTATTAGAAATTTTATGTGTTTCAACGGTAAATTTTTAATTAAAAATTATTTAAAAATTGTATTTGCTAAAATTGTAT